AAGAGCAACAGACACCAGAGATCTATCTCTCTCCCTACCTCCCCAGCCCCCAACATACACACAGAGGAAAGACACGTGAGGACACAAGAAGAAAGCAGCCATCTAAAATGGATGGAAAGCAGCCTCACCTGAAATCAACCCTACTAACACCCTAATGTTGGATTCCCAGTCTCCACAACTGTGAGAAAATAAATTTCTATTGCTTAAGCCACCCAGTCTGTGGTATTCTCTTATGACAGCCTCGGTAGACTAACACACTATATGTTCTATAAAGGACATTTATTAGTTTAAAAGCTAGGAGGGTGAAGTGTTACTAAAAACACACACAATCTAACACAGTGTTCTTGTCATTTAACCACTTACAAGTATTTTCTTAAAAAGTCTTCGAAACAATATTAAGTTATTTCACACTTCTTACAGAAAAAAAAACACAAAAGTTCATAATCATTACTTTTCCTGTTGAGAATGTTGTGGCCAATAGGATAAAAAAAATAGTTTTAAAATGTTTTCCTAATCTAGCAGGCCATGAATTTCCCTGCATTGGGTTTCTTATCCTAAAATGAAAGATATCATGCCCAACATGAACATGAAATTTAATCAGAAAGTTATGTTTAATTGAATTAAATATTTCTTGGAACCCATCATGTGTTATTTGAGGTTCTTGGGGTATATCAAGTGATGAGAGACAAAAATCCATGCTTTTTTGGAACGTACATCTTAGTAGAGGAACACAGTTAATTAACAATAAAATAAATATGTAAATTAAATATTATATTCAAACATGATAGTGCTAGGAAAAAAACATAGAGCATGTTAAGAGAGATTAGGAGTTTGAGTACAGGCAGGCACATCATGAGTTGCAATTTTAATTAGAATGGTCAGGGCAGGCCTCGCTGAGAAGGTGACGTTTGAGTAATGAAATCCGTCATGTGGATATCATATGAAAAATCTTTCCAGGTGGAAGGAACATCTAGTTCAAAAGTATAATGCGCTACATTTTGAATGTGTCCTCCAGAAACAAAAGTTCCACAAAATATTGGCGGAGATTCCTTAGCATAGTTTTACTGGCTGTGTTTAATGTAAATCCAAGGTCTGTTCTAACATCATTCTAAAAAGTGCAATTTCTTAAATTTTACTATGTAGGGGAAAAAAAAAACACTGTACATGTAGTGGAAGGACAAATAGTAATAATAGTAGCCACCACTTATGAGTGTTTACTCCTCGTAAAGTGTTTTACATATATTATTTAATTTAATCCTTAAAAATCCTTATGAGAAAGGTATTATTGGCCCCATTTTACAAATCAGAAAACTGAAGTTTAGAGATGCTGGATGTTTACATGAGTTACCTCTGATGAGCAAACCTTTTTTTATTTGCAGATGATTTCCTTAAAATTACAGACCATAATACCTAAGCACTTGATGCATTCATTTCTTAATCACTCTCCCACAAAGAAAGCTTCCTTTACCTGACATGGATATGGAAAACACTAACAGTTTTATAAGATGGGAAAAATAATTTCTAAGAAACTTATTAATTGCATTACTGGTAGAATATCAGATTTGATAGACTACTCTGATATGACAACTTCTATATATTCCTAATTAGTGAGGCAGGACATAACGTCAATTGGAAAGAAACTTACATAGCAAGATGATAATAAATCCAGTAGTTCTCATGAAGAGAACCTGTGGCTCTTTCAGTAACCACTTACTTGTATCACTTGTATGAAGGACAGTTCATCTCTATCCCTACAGTTGATCACTATTCCAGTATCCTCTTTTGAAAAATAATACCACCTACAAAATTTGACTTCCTAGGGAACTTGTGACACTACCTTCATAGAACAGTTTCAATCCAATTTCATTCAGAGGCGAACCCAGCTGTGTGGCTTCCTGGCTGCCAGCCAAAATATACAACCTCTGCCCACTGTACATGATCTCTTTGCAATAAAGTAGATAAAAGCAGGTTTTAGAAGTAAAAACTAGCAAACTTTCATTTGTTGATTTAACACACATAAAATATAAACTTACTTGTCAAATAAAAAACGCCTTCCTTAACTCAGCGTCCCATCAAAAATTCTTCATCCTCGGAATCTTTTATTTCTTCTTCACTGAAAACAGGTATCATTAAAGGGTTTGGAAACATTTAAGATCGAAGACTAAAATGAAACTGAAATCAGCTGTTAGTCATACGTAGGATTTTCTAATCTAGTGATAGCAATGTGACTCATTGTGACTACAGTACAACCTTTTATAACTCTTACATTGGGTACAAGAATAACATGACTCCTTTTACAGGTTGACTAGGTTATAAGCTTTTACTCTTTTTATGAATCGCGTTTTTAAAAAATACAACTTACCTCACATCATATCCAAATGAACAAGTCATGTTTTAAAGCAAGAGAGATTCTTGAATTTTAAATACTCCGAAGAATTTACAAAGTATCATTTTGTTAGACCTAGGTTTTTTAAACCCTGCATTTCTCAAACTCTATACCCCAAGGCCATCTGATTGTTGATTTCTGTTCCCAAAAACACCCACAACGTTTCTTCTATTTCCAAGCCTGCCTATAATGCCCTTCTACATTCATCTACCAAGGGTGTCCAACCTGTGGCCGAGGATAGCAATGAATGAGGCCCAACACAAAATTGTAAATTTACTTACAACATGAAATGTTTTGTTCTTTTTTTTTCTGTGATTACATGTCGCAATATATTTAATGTGTGGCCCAAGAAAATTCTTCTTCTTCCAGTGTGGGCCAGAGACAACAAAAGGCTGGACACCCTGTGAACCTGATGAAGTCCTAACAATCCTTTAAGAATCAGCTCAAAACCTTTAAAATTTCCCATATTTCCTAATCAATTTGATTCTCCCCTTCCTCCTTCCAATCCCATCACTTTAGCTTCTCCTCTAGGATTTACCCAAATATACATCAAAATAAAGCTATGTATCCCCTGGCCAGTGTGGCTCAAATGCTTGGAGCATCAGTCCCATAAACCAAAAGGTTGCAAGTTTGGTTCCTGGTCAGGGTACACACCTAGGTTGCAGGTTCAGTCCCTGATAAGGGTGCATAGGAGAAGCAACCAATTGATGTTTCTCTCACACTGATGTTTCTCTCTCTCTCTCTCTCTCTCTCTCTCTCTCTCTCTCTCAAATCAATGAACAAATTTTCAGGTGAGCATTTAAAAAAAAAAATCTAGCTGGCATTGAGTGAATGGAAAAAAAGGCCATGTGTGTCTCCTTTCTTGTTATGAGCATCTAGGAAGACCTATCTTTCATTTTTTAACAGCCCCCACAATATGTCTACGAGAATACTTTGCATGTTGTAGGCAAATGATAAATGACTGTAAATGCCACTGAATGGAATGTAAAAATCTTTGGTCTTATTTCCTGGAGAGGAAATTAACCTTCAAGTCACATTGCTAAACCTATCAACAAAAACTCAATTTTGTATCAGTAGCCTAGATCTCTCTTCTGAGCTCAACTCACATATCCATCTATAGATATCATTACCAAGATATCCCACAATCACCTCAATTTCAACTTAATCTAAACCAAGTTCACTATCTACCCTTGTTCCTGCTCTTCTACTAGTGTCTCCTTGTTTGACTACTCAAATCACTTAACTTTTAAATTACTTGTTGGGCCCATTTCTTCATCTGCCAAATGAAGAGACTGACAGTGAATTAAATGAAATAAAAACGGTAGGCACGAAGTAAATTTAGAAAAATTAAAAAGCTAAGAGATAAAGAGCTTCCTATGAGTCTCAGAAAGAGCCTTATGGTCCAGAAATTCCTGTTCTATGGTCTTCTCAAAGGTTCTGCTGACTTACCAGCAGAGAGTTCTGAGGATGAGGGAAGACAAAGGTAGCTTCCTGCCTGACTAGCCATTAACTCATGACCACAAATACATACATAGGTGAGTTGACAATGTCTCACATAGGGAGTTTTGATGGTTATTCCAAGCATTTTTTTAAAGATCATATTGCTTGCCTTCCGTTTGCAAAGGCGATAATTTACATGATTATTCCAGTGAAGTTTTTTGAAACCCTTTGCCATTAAAAGTACATCTTTACAACACAAGGCAAAGAAATGTGTCCCACATAATACAGGTGTCTTTTAAGAAACCTGGAATATTAAACTGATATAGACTTTCTTTAGAAACACCTGCAAAAAAAAAAGGTTAAAAATGCTTGTACTAAATTTTTTAACTGCAAGCATCTCGTGTGTCAATTCCTCACGTTTTGAAAAGAGGTGGGCTGGGATACTGGATATTCTACCATTTCTTTGGGGGGAGTGGTTACGTACAATTTTCAAAACTCGATGAAACAGATCATAGGATCTGTGCGATTTCTTTTAAGTGAACCATAACTCAATTTTTTTAAATAGGGAGCGGTAGTTACCAATGGGATGATTAATCCGTTAAACATAGTTCTCTCGTCTAAAGCTGACCTACCGCTCTGGGCAGGCCGGTAGCACAGGAACTGTTTCTGTGAGAATTAAATAAGGGTTTCGTAAAGAGTACGTAGCAGATGGAAAATGCTTGGGGCATACTACTTACAGTTATTATCAAAGATAAACAGGTTACTACACACTCCCCCCACCCCCCACTGCCTACAAACCGGAGGAGTCCTGCTTTCAGGGATTTAGAACTCAGTATCTATCCCCCAACCAGTCTGCCGTTTGTCCCATCACAAGATTTCCCAGGTTAAAACGTCTCCCACCCGCCCAAGAACAAACTCCTATAAAGGCACCTGGCTCTGTCACTAGCATCACCCACACCCAGCTTCCCCTCACGCAACTTGACTCAAGCCTCAGGCGGGTGAACTCCCTCGCTCTGGGAGCCCCGCGCAGCGTCACGTGACCTCTGGCCCGGTCTAGTCCCCCCTACAGAAACTGAACTTTCCGGGCCCCACCTCCTCGCGCCTCTAGCACAACACGTGACCTCTGGCCCCGCCCCCGTCCTAGGGGCTGATCCCTCTCCGCCTCCAGTCAGGTGACGGCTGGTTCCGCCCCGGCCTACTGAAGAGCTCTGCGCTCTGGTCACAACGGAAGCTACGCGGCTACGGTGGCTTAGGCGGAGATGGCAGCCACCTTGCAGCTCGTCGAACGCCTATCCAGTCGGGTGGTGCGCGTCCTGGGCTGTAACCCAGGTCCCATGACCCTGCAGGGCACCAACACCTACCTGATAGGGACTGGCCCCAGGTAAACGTCCCCTATCCCCCTACTCCGCCATATAAGTAGTGGTCCGCCGAACGCGTGGACCTGGGACTGCGATCGATGCCCGCCGCTCGCATCGTACAGGATTGCGTCGTCCTGCCCCGGCGGGGCATCCCCACATAGAACGATCCGCAGAGGTCCCCATGGTGGACCTCCCTTAAATCACGGCTGTCCGGGATGGTAACCTAAGTTACAATTGGCTGGGGGAGAAATAATTTTGAAGAAACAAAACTTACAGTTTCTGAAACCCAATTTACTTTGTTTGATGTTGAATGCCAGGGTGAGCATGTTTAAGTGGTTGAAAAATGAGTGTCGCCTGGAGTTTTCTAAGAATCCAGGAAAACGTTGACATGGCTTACCCTCTGACGTTCATTGGTGTTTTGCCCGGAGTGTAACTTCCCCTTCACAAAAGCGGTTAACTTTGTTGAGGCTTTTTTCTTAACTGAGCAGCATAGGGCAAGGTTTTTTTGCGTCTGAATTGCTGGAGTTTGAAACCCAAAAAACCCCCACTGCCCTTGGGAAGGAAGAGCTTACTACTTTTTGTTTGTTACTATTGTGTGGCCTTATTTAGGTTATGTTTTTGATGGAATAACGTATCTCTGTTTCTAAGATTTTTTTTTCTCTTGCTCAGCTGCATTCCGTTTTGTACAGAAATGGAGAGAAGTGGTTTATTGCACAATAAATGCATAGGACAATTTTTGTGTAGATAATGCAAAGTAGAAATAAGGTATTGTTCTCCATGAGTATAGAATTTAATTGTGCAGTCAAGACCTGTTACAATTAGTAAAATAAACTTGAACACTAAACACAGTTTAATATGTATAGTATATTGAGTTTTTATGTGCAGTACTGTATTTGCCTTTTTTCCAGCAAATCAGTCAGAGGCAGCAGTATGAAGGAACTGAAGTATTGCAAGTCAGGCAGGCAAGAGATGAAGTCTAGAGCAAACAAGGCAGGGTCAGTTAGGTAGGAAAGCTTTAGGCTGCCTCCATAATCTAGGAGAATAGATAATTAGGCAGAAAAAAATACCTGATGCCTAGGATAGAGTATGTCTTGGATGGGACTCCCTCACACCAAGAAGTCCATAGGTGTTTTCATCTCTCTTTGGTGTGTCATCTTAAACTTGTTTTAAAGTCAGTACCTAAGATGAAAATTGGGTATAATCAAAATTACCCCAGAAAGTCTATGTTAGAAATCACTGTGCTGTTTCTCAATAAGGTCAACATAGCCTCCTTTTCTCCTACTAATGAAACAGATGGCTGGTTTTCTCTGCAAACCAGATGAAGAAGTTGGCTTGTGTTTAGAGGGACATGTTGTATGAAAAATACATACTGCATCTTTAAACAGTAGAATCACACTCAGGTTTAGCAAAGTGTTTTTGGTAAAAGGCATATAAAGAACCTGAAATTGACTAAAGAGTAGATTCAAGTCCCCCATCTTAGAATGTTTGCACTACCTACTCACATAAACTCATGAAGTGGAGTAGCCAGTGCAATCAGTGATATGTATATGAGAGATATATATGATGAGCCCCTATAGTTGAGCCAGAATAAGTTAATATACAAACCACGCTACTCTGCTGTATGAAGTAGAAATCAGGTGGCCAGAAATGAATATTGACAGTCCAATTAAGAGCTTCTGATACTGGTATCTACCCGTTCCACTGCACAAAACAGTTCTAACATCACAGGTGGCTCCTACATCGCTAAACCCAATGGCATTTTTCCATTCCCATCTTATTTGAATTCTAGTATCTTTTGACACTGCTGACCACTCCTTGATCTGCCAACACCACTTTCCTACTGGCTTCCTCCCTAGCGACTCCTAGCTACTGTTTCACAGTCCCCATCATAGAATTCTTCTCTTTACCAGATCTTTTAAGTGTTTGATTTCCTCAAGATTCAATCCTGGTCTTCTGTGCTCATTCTATAGTCTCTACCTAGGTGATCTTGCCTGCTAACTTGGTTCCACCTATTATATGTTCATTAATAACTCCGAAATTTAGAACTCCAGGTCAAACAAAATCCAAATTTGATTTTCAGACCAGGGCAGCCAACAGCTCTCTTAAATCTCTGCTTGGATGACTTACAACCACTTTAAACTCTATTCCACAAACTGAACTCATGGGCTTTCCTGCTAAACCTGATCTTCAGTCACCCATATCTTGGTATGTAGAACCATCCTTACACTTGATCAAGGCTAATACTTAAGTATACTTCTTGACATTCGTCTTTGTTTCTTGCACACACATCCAAGCCATTAAGATTTCCCCATTTCTCCTGCTGCCACCCAGTCCCCACCAGTACAACTCTTGCTTAGGCTTCTAAATTAGCTTCTGACTTCTTTTTATCTACTTTTGTCCCATTTCAATCCATTCTCCCCCATATAGCCAGAATAGTGGTTTTGGGGAGGTTTTGTTTTTTTTCCCTAATGAAAATTAGAAGGCCTTGCACTCTCTGGCTTCTGCCCATCTATCACCCTGATCACAAGCCTCTCTCCTATCCCAGCCAGAGAGGTTGTATCCATTCTGCCTCAGGACATTTATGCATGCTTTTCTCTCTATCTCCAACTATCCCTCTCCTCTTTACCTAGCTAAACTCCTTCATCCTTTAGAGCTCAGTTAATACATCATTTCCTCAAGGAAGCCTCCCTTAACCCCTTAGACTATGTTAGGTTAATGTAATAGACTGCCTTAGCACTTCATTCTTTTCATAGCCCTTATCTTGATAATAAAATGGCTTTTTGTGCATGTAAAAAGCAGCTTAATGATCTTTCCCACCTCTATTTACCATAAAATATAAAGTTCAATAAAGGATTATTCATTACCTTATCCCCACCACCTGGCACAAAGCCTTGACCATAGTACAAGAATTACAGTAAACATTTACTGAACGAATGAGTGTTCTCCACATTCTTTCTTTGTTTTCTTTGTTACGATTCCAGAACTGCTGGATAACTGCAATTTTACCTGGTCTTCTGTCCTTATCCTGATTAGCCCATGCATGCCAAAGGAATTTCCCTAAAGCACAATGAGATCTACTGTACTCAATAAACATTTGAATAGACAAGTAATAGCCAACTTTTCCAAAGAGTATGTCATGGTTTCTTTTCTGCCTAAGAACCTCTAAAAAAACTGCAGTTTTAATTTTACTATCAAAACTGTAAGTACATTAAATGCAAATATACTATTTCCAATTAATAATAAAAGGCAATCTAGTGGAGTAGAGTTAAGACTCTGGACTCTGATTACGTAGATCCCAGTCCTGGCTTATGACTTTGTAAGAGAAAGTTGACTCTGTAAACTTCAGATTCTTTATCTATACAATAAGGGTTGTATAGTACCTTTCTCATAAGGATGTTACAGGGTTTCAGTGAAATTTAAGTGAAAAATCTTACCAAAGCACTTAAAAAATTCTAGAAGGAGCGGGGGCAGGGGGAAGTGGTGGTGGGAAGGTGGAGACAAAGGTATTTGAACAAAAAATAAAAGTTAAAAGAAAAAAACAAATTATAACATGTGGGAAGCATACAGTATTATTATTTTGATCACTTCTGCTTCTCTCATAGCATCCAGGCAATTCTGGGTTCACAGCAGGCGCTCAGAAGATGACTAATAATTTTGTAAGAATGACAACAAATTGACAGAGAGTCCATTTAATAACTATCTTAAAATTGATATAAACTACCTAAAAGAGGAAGTTGATTTCACTAATTTCTATCAGTTGGAGAATTTTTTTCTTCATTCACATAGCAGATTGTTACTGTGTCCCTACTATGTGCCAGGCACTATGCTCTGGTGAATAAATTGTCGTAGACCTGTACAGATTCTTCTGCACTCATTCCCGTCATTAGTATAACTTATATTTGTAAAATGGCCTCCTGAAATGAGATATTGACTGTATTCGTGAAGAACAAAGCCAGCCAGCCCACATAGAGATGACACTGCCTAATCCTCTGCAGTAACTATTCACAGACATTATTGAGAGCATGGTGTATGCTAAGGAGGAAGCTAAGAAATTGTTTTTCTAATTTACAGCTGAAGTTTCATTTATGCTGCATGAGGAATGATTCTGTGTGCTTGCTAAGCAGTACCCTTCCACGAGAGAGGCAGTATGTCTTGAATGGAGAAGTCACTGGACCTTGTATCTGAATATTTAGTGCTTCCCAGTACCACCTATTACTGAGGCTGGGGGCAAATTATTTAGCCTTTCTGAAGACTAGTTTCCTCTACTGTAAAATAAAATAGTAATAAATAATAATACCTACCTAGAGTTGATTTGAGGATCAAAAGGATAATAAATATGTGAAAGCACCAAATGTTAGTTTAAATTGCTATGTTGGTCATTGTAAGATATTACATTGTGAAATGTTCTCCCATTCAGTAGATTCCCTTTTTGTTTTGCTGACAGTTTTTATTTCATTGATGGTTTCCTTCACTATACAAAGCTTTTTAGTTTAATGTAGTCATGTTTGTTTATTTTTGCTTTTGCTGAGCTTGCCTGATCACACAGATCAAAAAAAATATTGCTAAGACTGATGTCAAAAGAGTTTACTGCCTATGTTCAATGAATTTTATGGTTTCATGCCTTTAGTCTATTTTGAGTTTATTTTTGTGTATCATACAAAAAAGTGTTCCAGTTTCATACTTTTGCATGTAGCTGTCCAGTTTTCCCAATACCACTTATTGAAGAAATCGTCTTTTCCCGTTGTATATTCCTGCCTTCTTTGTTTGTATGTTAATTGACAGTATATCGAGGATTTGTTCCTGGGATCTGTATTCTGTTCCATTGACCTGTGTGTCACTTTTTGTACCAGTACCATGCTATTTTGAATACTGTAACTTTGCAGTCAAATCAGGGAGCATGATACCTCCAGCTTTGTTTTCTTTCTCAAGATTCCTTTGACTATACAGTGTCTCTTGTGGTTACATACAAATGTTAGGATTATTTGTTCTAGTCCGGTGAAAAATACCATTGTCGTTTTGATAG